AGCGATACAAAGATAGACCATATATATACTGGAGTATTACTGTTGTTTGCTGTCACATGAGTTGGTCGACAAAAAATGAGCTGCAAAAGGAAATTTTGAGGAACAACACTTCATGCGACCGCTTCGCTGGTCAAATTAATGACGGCGACGGCAGTCCATCGGCTTGTCTGTTTGCTCGATGCAGGATATGCCGCGTTTCCCTTCCGTTGGCCATATTCGTGGACATGGCGCGCTCCACTTGAACGGGGCGGTGGACTTCTCCTCCACGACACCACAAGGAACCTCACGCTTTCACCGGATTACGTATTCGCCCTTCTCTTTTTTCTTTTTGTAAAAATGGTCCAAATCTTTTTCTTTTTTTGCGAATAATTACTCACTCGTTTGAGCGATAAGTAATATCAATAGGAGAAAATATCAAAATTCATTGAAAGTACAAAACACGTCAAACATAATAAAAATTATATTAAGACTCTGAGACCATTCACATCCGCGCTAAAATATCATTTTTCCTAGGATTAGTTTCGGCGTCAGTCGATTTAGAGAAGACGTGGCACCAAATCAAAGACGAGGAGGCCTCGGCCTCTCACACTATGATTAGCATGGACTTGGCCGGAGATGGGGATGTCGCGGCGTGCTGATGGAGGACAAGAAGTAGGTTGATTTGCATCAGAGTTTACGTCGACAAACTTCTTTTTTCGCATAAATGAAAAAACATTAGAATCCGAAACTCTGTAGATCAATTTCACACAAAATACTACCATGTGTAGATTCTTTTCAGGTTTTTTGGCGCAACATGTTATTTTAAAAATGACGCAACTCATTTGAAATGTGAAATTTCACAAAATTATGTTTCATAAAAAAATCATTTTATACGCATATTGGCATTTGTGTATTGTTGACGTGCAAAGAGCCAAGGTCAAATGTTTTCTTACTTGCAAGAAATAAAAAAGGAGAAATTTCTATAGAAAGATAACACAAATTTTGATGCATATTTGATGGCCTAAATAGAAGGTGTAGCTACATGGGAGTGTGAAAAATCCACAATCCAGATTGTTGGCGTGGGTGCAATACGGGGTGCGGTCACCGACGTTGGAGTTGGGCAGAACTCTGGACCGACATAGGAGGCGGATCGAGAATGGTCAGGTGGCAAGACAGACATGACACCGCTTGGCAGGGGCGACAATATGGAGGGGCGGGTCACAATAAGGAATGAACAAGAGTAAGAAAAGGAAGAAGCAGCGTTATCAGCCGTTTGATTTTATTTTAAACGGTCTGATAGCAGATGATGCGAAACAGTAGTATTTTACTGTTCTAATAGTAAATGTATTTCACCCGCAAAAAAAAAAAAAATAGTAAATGTATTTTAAAATGATATTCTAAAACGATACCCAAACAAGAAGAAAATGGAAGAAGGAAAATAAAGCAGTGGCAGTATCGTAAAAGTTACCAGCCGCAAGTGCAAAACCGTCACCTAAACCCCTGCATAAACGATCTCCCCTTCGTCTTCTCTCTTGGCCACCGCCACCGCCACCTCTCTCCGCGCGCACCACCGCCAGCGCCACTCGAAACCCCCCAACACTCGCGAGCCCTGAGATCTACGCGAGATGTGGCGCGGCTGCGTCTCGCGCGGCCTCTCCAAGGCAAAGGCCTCCGCCTCCAGGCTCTTCTCCACGACCTCGGTACCCTTGATCCCCTCTTTCTCTCTGCTTCATCTGATCGACGTAGTTTTCCCCGAAATTTTCGAGTATTCTTATAGTTAATCGCGGAGCTGGAGGTTTTGAGGTGGAAATTCTACCTTTTTCTTCGAGTAATCTTGGTTTTCCTTTGGCAAAAAAAGAGAGTAATCTTGGTTTTCTATGCGATGAGATGGCTTAGTGTTCGAGGAATGCACGACGATTGATTGTTCTTCTGTGGCTGTGAGCATTTGCAGTCTTCGTACACGGTGGTGGACCACTCGTATGACGCGGTAGTGGTGGGCGCAGGAGGCGCAGGTCTCCGGGCGGCCATCGGGCTCTCGGAGCACGGCTTCAACACCGCCTGCATCACCAAGCTCTTCCCCACGCGGTCGCATACCGTCGCAGCGCAGGTATAGTACAATTATCATCGCAAACCCTGGGTATCTGTGTATCCTGTTATTCTATTTATTGAAATGAAATTCGCTGAAAGACATATAAGACGGAAACTGTTTCTTTTTCCGTGTGCCGTTTGGTGCTAATTTCCGTTGGTTAGTCAGTTTTGGAATAGGATGAATATTTTTGAACGATCCAGCAAAACGCTGGTTTATATAGGAAGCAGTAACAGGCTGATCCATGGATCCAAGGAGGAAAGTAAAAGAACAGTCAGAGAAAAATAAAAAAGGCCCCGAAAAGGCCTGAAAACGAGTTCCCAATCTTTCACGACGGATCCCTGAAAGGGGTCCCTGGACATTTTGCGCCGGCCATACGCCGAGGATCTCCACGTCTATGCCGGTGACAGGCTCAATAACCACTCTGAAAGTGCAGTTATTTCTCTCCTGCCACAGCTCCTAATCCCCCATGATGATCATTGACTTGATTTCCTTATTGCGTTGACCTTGCGAGGCATAGACGATCCCCATGGCAAACTCCGTTGAACTGCCCTTGCATGCCAATAAATTACCATTTGGTAGGGCTATTTATTTTTCTCTAGTACTCCTTGTGTAGTATGCTAATCAAGTGAGTAAGAGAGTAGAAGAGTGAAAGGCAGTCAAGTGGTTTTAAGCTGATGCTAGCCTGAGCATTAGGGTGGATCAATATTGTTGCAATTCGCAAGGAGTGGAGCATCTGTTGCTGGATTTCATAATTTACAGTTTGTTAGGGGTGACCAAGGTAAGGTAGTGAATAAAGTCTTGTATAGAATAAGCCGAAGTTCTGGTGTGTCTGGTCCAAAAATTAAATGATACGTGGGCTTAAATTCTGCGAATTATGTGTGACCCTGTTATTTCCATACCTGAATTAGGCGTAGTATTCGCATTTCTCAGCAATGTGTTTTTCATGCTGAAGCAGATGTGCTGTTCAGGACTTTTTGCGTGCTTTCCTTGACTAGTAAGGTTATTATGTTAAGGAATATTCATAGTGATGGGATACCATCCTAAGTTTGTAGTGTCGAAACTCTCAATTTGTCAGCATGCATTTTACTGACAGAATACCATCCTAAGTTTGTAATGTCGAAACTCTCAATTTGTCAGCATGCATTTTATCTGACAAATTTCTGTGCTACTACGCCATTGAACTGTGCTTGCTTGACTTGTAATGTTGCATTTTCCATGTAGGTGTAAGGTCACTTTCAGGCTTTGTGTCTTTTGCACTATTAATATGAACTGCTAGATTTCCTGTTTAGTTGTGAGTTATTGTCTAAGTTTTTTTTTTTTACTTTGGGCATGCACTAACATGCAAGAATGTATGCAGGGAGGCATAAATGCTGCTCTAGGAAACATGAGCGAAGATGACTGGAGGTGGCATATGTATGATACGGTCAAGGGAAGCGACTGGCTTGGTAAGCTACTCCACAGATTTTGATGTTTTAGGGAAAATACATAGAGGCTATAATCATAGAAATTTGAGAGCTAATGCGAACTGACATCTTTCTAAGCAACTGGCATGAAACCCCATTCATTTTTAACAGAACCTACAAAACCTCATTGAAATTTCTTTATAATATGCAACTCTTATCCACTTTCAGGTGATCAAGATTCTATCCAATATATGTGCAGAGAAGCACCAAAAGCTGTTATAGAACTTGAAAATTATGGATTGCCATTTTCAAGAACTGAAGATGGAAAGATATACCAACGTGCATTTGGAGGCCAGAGTTTAGATTTCGGGAAAGGTACTTCCTAACTAAAGTGTAAGAAGGAAACCTTCATAGTATCTTATTCCTCATCCTACCACTATCTGCTATCATCAGGTGGACAGGCCTACCGATGTGCATGTGCTGCTGACAGGACAGGGCATGCTATGCTCCACACGTTATATGGTCAAGCCATGAAGCATAACACTCAGTTTTTTGTAGAATATTTTGCACTAGACCTTCTCATGGACAATGAAGGTAAGATAACTATGTTATTCAGATTGTCATGTATCTTCTCCCCTCATATCTGGTAGCACACGAGATTCAATTTGAATTAGATAAAATTATTTCCAATTGAAATGAATTGCTCTGCCAGACATCTTAGTTTCAACTTTTTCTTCTTGTGGCAACGTACAACAGAGACATCTGTTAGAACTTAATAACTCACCAGGATCTAAAAGGAACATCTCAGTGGAAGTACCAGCAATGAAGGAACGCCCGAAATTTGTCTGCTTGATTTTTTTTCCGGGCAATCGGCAGGAGCTCTGCCTTTTCATTAAGAAGAGAATTGGCCAGTTTATAAGGGAATCTGGCAGAAAACTGATACATCTGCGACAAGCGCACACGCCAGCCCTGAGGTTGCGCACCAACCGAGCCGTCGACACTGCCACCTAAGTGACAAGAGACGACACCCAATCACTCAACACCGGTTTTCGGAGCCGCCGCTCCGACGACCACATCGACCCTGAGGCCGCGCACCAGCCTAGTCGATGTCTCTGTCGCCCTAGTGACCAAAGACAACACTTCCACACAGAAGATCTTCAGAGCCGCCGCTCCGACTTCCACATCGGCCCTGAGGCCACGAACCAGCTAGTCAATGGCACTGCCGCCCAAGTGACCAAAGCCACGACCACGCGCAGGAGACTTCCGGAGCCGCCGCTCCGACTACCACACCGGCCCTGAGGCCACGCACACTCCTAGCCAACGAAGCTAACAAAGCCACTGCAATATGATTGTTAGACCACAGCAATTGTTCTTCCACTATCTTTAATTGCTTGATCCACTGCAATATGATTGTTATTGAAGCCAACTTCCTCCAGTCAAACAAAATACGACTTCATAATCAGCTTATTTCTGGTGGCGAATATTCAAAGACCATAGCATTCATACCAATCCATATCGCCCAAGCAACTAACACAAAACCAGGCAGGGCAAGTTCCAGCTCATGTATTGCCCTGCAGCCACACACCCCCAATTTCAGAATATTACAAAGATATACATATCTAGAAACAATCATATTCATCTTTTGTGTTTCAAATTGTTGCTATGATGTAATAAAGTAACCCACTCCCCATAGACATGTTGAACACTTCATATTACACTTTCTAGTTATGGTTCTGTCTATGAATTCGAAGCATTTGTTTGATTATTATTTTTTGTTTTCCGAGCTTGTCGTGTTCTTGTTGCACTAACCATAATGCTGCTTATGTGTTATGGACTTATAGGGGCTTTGTCCATTAGTGTTAACATGGTCTGCTTTATTCTCTATGCCATTGCCCGTGAACCCAAGCCTGCTTGTTACATAGTTCTCCCTAAGTGTTTGTTGCCTCCTTTTGTTATTCTGTTGATAACGACATTGACATGCTTGAACACTTCTTGCTGCTTCTGGAGCTTTTGTATTGGACTCATGAAGATTGTTTCGAGCTTTCCATGGTGTCAATACTAGTAATTAACACATAATGATATTTCAGGCAACTGCCAGGGAGTCATTGCCTTAAACATGGAGGATGGCACCCTTCACCGTTTCCGTGCAACAAATACAATTCTAGCCACAGGGGTAATATTATTATTATTCCTACGTTTGTAGGTATAAATTGTTTGTGCTTGCTTACTTTAACTGTGAAATTATTTTTGGGTTATGGAAGTAGGGTTACGGCAGGGCCTACTTCTCAGCAACCTCAGCTCACACATGTACTGGAGATGGCAATGCCATGGTTGCACGTGCTGGTTTACCTCTTCAAGTTAGTTTTTATCTAATGCTGATGCTAATTTTTAAGTTCCTCCTCTTCCATTATCCTGTTTGATTATGCTTGTGTGATATATGCATTGCAGGATCTTGAGTTCGTCCAGTTCCATCCTACAGGCATATATGGTGCTGGATGCCTCATCACTGAAGGTTGTATATATTCAACTATTTCTCCCTGTTGTTATCATTAGGGAAGCAACTTGGTCATAAAACCCTCTAATCTATGGATGATGTATTTCTGGACTTGATGTTGTACTTGTCTGTTAAGCCCCCCTTTTCTCTTCTCTGACAACTTGTGTTTACCTTGTTGATCTCACATGATTTTCTCAGGATCCCGTGGTGAGGGTGGTATTCTTAGGAACAGTGAAGGTGAGCGTTTCATGGAACGATATGCTCCTACTGCAAAGGATCTTGCTTCTCGTGATGTTGTTTCAAGATCCATGACAATGGAAATTAGAGAAGGACGTGGTGTTGGTAAGTAGTCTTAGTCATCTTTTTATATGTTCAAAAAGTTGCCAAATTGTGTGGCTTATTCACGTCAACCCAATCCTTTTTTCTGGTTATCGCAGGGCCATTGAAGGATCACATCTATTTGCATCTTAACCATCTGCCTCCTGAAGTTCTCAAGGAAAGACTTCCTGGTATATCTGAAACTGCTGCTATTTTTGCTGGTGTTGACGTCACCAAGGAGCCCATTCCAGTTTTGCCTACCGTTCACTACAACATGGGTGGGATCCCAACAAACTACCATGGGGAGGTTCGTCTTGAGTAACCAAATTAAACATGATCATGGATCATATTTGCTGTTCTCCTAATAGGTGTTCTGTTTTAAATACTATTAGGTTGTGGATATCAAGGGTGATAATCCAGATACTGTTATTCCTGGTTTAATGGCTGCTGGAGAAGCAGCGTGCGCGTCTGTTCATGGTGCAAATCGTTTGGGTGCAAATTCACTTCTTGACATAGTTGTGTTTGGTAGAGCTTGTGCAAACAGGGTAGCTGAGATTTCGAAACCAGGTAAGCTCCTTTCTTTTGTTCTGCATCTCATTGCTTTCTTGGCTCTGACTCACTATACCTATATTGCAGGTGACAAGCAGAAACCTCTGGAAAAAGGTGCAGGGGAGAAGACTATAGCATGGCTGGACAAGCTGAGAAATGCAAATGGATCATTGCCAACTTCCAAGATCCGTCTTAACACACAACGTATTATGCAAAATAATGCTGCAGTTTTCCGTACACAAGAAACGCTTGAAGAAGGTATTGGACATATCCTTTGTAGAGTTCATCACCATCCTGTGTTTTTTTCTCGAACAATCACCATCCTGTGTCTGTTATCTGTTCTCACCATAGACCCTTGAGAGGTAAGGGAAATTCTTATAGCTATTTATGCATGAAAAGCAGGAAGCCAGAACAACATAAGTAAAGAGATACACAAGCAGGAAGAGCCATTATTCTTGGTTATAATTATCATTTATCAAAAAATTCTCATTGACCATATGTTTATTAGGTTGTCAACTGATCAGCAAAGCATGGGAAAGTTATCATGACGTGAAGATCAGTGACCGAAGCCTCATATGGTATATGTTATTCCTCGCAGGAATTGTATGAAGCAGTTTGACTTGTATTCCTGCAGTAATCACCCATTTTTGTTGTTGTTTGTTTATGCAGGAATTCAGACTTGATAGAAACCATAGAGCTGGAAAATCTGTTAATAAATGCATGCATAACTATGTATTCAGCAGAGGCTCGGAAGGAAAGCAGAGGAGCTCATGCTCGTGAAGATTTCACGGTTTGCTACTTGGCTTGTTTGTTTTACTGTCTCTTCTTCCTTGCACCCACATGCTTCTATGTAGTAACGGCAATTGTTTCTCCTCGTTGCTTACAGACAAGAGACGATGAACGTTGGATGAAGCACTCACTGGGGTAAGTATCTTGATCGTCTTCTCTTCATTATTAAGCTTAATGTGGTTACATCAAACAATTTTGTGGAGTGAAACAAATTATAGTAGTGTGTAATTCAGTGTAAAACACACTTAGGGAATCTCCAACGGTGTACCTCAAATCGGACACAATAAAAGTCCGTGGACCCACCAAACTTCCGTGGATGCGCCCGCGGATCCGGATACGGGAGCTGGCCACCCAACCCTGTGCAGCAAACGTCCGCCCTTGTGCGTCCTTGTTTCTTCCTATGATTCCAAACATTAAGTTTTCAAATAAAACAATTCAATCTTGAATCCAACTTTATGCATATGCTCTAGTTTAGTTCTCCCCTTTAAGCGCAACAGATGCTCAAGCAGATCATTCCGAAGCTGCTCATGAGCTGCTCGATGGCTTGATGGAGAATATGTTTGATGCATTTGGATAAAATCTCCAAACATCACCAAATTCTGCTCTGGAAGTTGGATAGGAACACTCAAATTCCAGACCTTCGTCAACTCCTTCACCCTCATCCTCCACAATCATGTGGTACATGATCACACAACAAGTCAACACCTCCCGCAACGTCTCTGGATCTCATTGTTTAGCAGGTCCACGAACAACTGCAAAACTCATTCATCCTTTGTAGTGTCTTCGGACAAAGCAAGATCTTTTTTCAGTATTTTGCTCAGACATGGTCTTGACAAAGGTCGCCCACCGATGATAGATACAATCAATCAAATAGTAGCCCATGTTGTAGTCATGACCATTGATGGTATAGTTGCACGGAGGAGCTTGTCACACAGTCAACCTAGCAAACAAAGGAGACCGCTGCAGCACATTGATGCCATTGTGAGACCGGAGCATGCCAAAAAAAGTGCCAAATTCAGAGATCTTGTGATGCATCTGCTTTAAGAATGATGGTAGGCTTCTTAACATGACCTTGATATTGCCCTTGTTTTACATATAGGCAGTTTTCCCATTTTCATTGCATGCAATCAAGGGATCCGAGCATACCTGGCCAACCTTTTGCTTCCGAGAGTGCCATGAGCCTTTCGGTGTCTGCGACAGTTGGTTTTCTCAAATACTGCGGTCCAAACATCTTGACCACTGCAGTAGCAAACCTGACCATGGCATCTTCGCATGTGCTTTCAGACATCCGGAGCTACTCATCCCATGAATCTGCGGCCGTGCCATAGTCTAACATCCTCAATGCAGCCGTGCACTTCTGATAACCAGAGAAGACAATGGTAACTGCCTCCTTCAAGATGAAGTAGTCATCATAGACTCAGACACCATTGTAGAGACCATCAAAAACATTTTTCCGCATATGAAAGCGTCGGCGAAAATGGCCTACGAATAGGGCATCGCGGACAAAGTAGTCGTCCATCAAAAACATTTTTCCGCATCTGAAAGCATCGGCGAAAATGGTCTACGAATAGGGCATCGGGGACAAAGTAGTCGTCCATCAGCATCAAATGCCCCCATGCATTATTCTGATTTCAACACTCGTCCCTTGACTGACCCCTTGAAACTGAGAACATGCTCCCCGGCACATGCTCCTCCGTACGCTCTGCATCTGGAAGGACCGCCCTCATCATCGTCATTCGTCATCATCCAATGAGGATGAATCCATGAAGTTGTCGTAGAAGTACTCCAAATCCATCGTGTTTGCTTCAAAGGAAGGGGAAAAAATGCCAACAATTTGGCTATGGCATTTGGCCAAACACTTGTCGGGTGTGGTGTCCGCCATGGACGGCACCTATAGGGCGGACGGTACCTGGGCAGCGGACGGATGAGGGGTGGAACGGTGCCGCACTTCAAGGCAGGTAGGCGCGTGGGTGATACATCGGTGGTGTTGGTAGCCGCCGCTTGGGGAGGGAGCGGATACAGAGTGTGGGGAAGGGGGAGTAAGAAAAACGCAGTCCGAGAGAGGTTTTGGGTGGGCCGGGGGTGTCGGAGTCCTACGTGACGGATATCTGAACGCTTGGAACCTCCCCTGGGTTTGGTGCCAGTTTTCTGGGAATTTGGACGCGTCTGTGGTGTCCGGACATTTAGGCGCGGTACGGCGTATAGCGTTGGAGATGTCCTAAATTCAGCAACTTGATGCCATTTGCATGTGTTTTACAGGTACTGGGAGAATGAGAAGGTACGATTGGCATACAGGCGAGTCCATATGAACACATTGGATGATGAAATCGAGTCGTTCCCACCGAAAGCACGAGTATACTGATTCATGCGTCTCAGCTCGGTGATTTAATTAAGGTTGTTAATAAAGCATGCTGTGGGTATTCTCTAGCTGGGAGTTTCAGCTGAATTTTGTCCTTGTTTTTCCTGTGTATCCTGTGTAATCCATGGGAAATAAAAAAAAATACTAGTGCCTAGCCTGTCCCTTTCTGGGTACCTTTGGTGTAAATGAAATTTTGTATGAGGTGCTTTCATGCCGAACCAGATACTTATGATCTGGGATGATGATCTACCTTACTTATGTTTTTCTTTTTCTTTTGTGAAACATTTTAGTTATGCATTTTGTGCTCGCGCTGGCTCCAGCAGAATCCACCGTCGATCTGGCTTAGGACTTTGGAGTCACAAAGGATCAAATAGGCTCACAGTGAGCATAGCCAACCACAAACGTGGAACAGGAATATGTACACGTATGCACTACAAGTCAGGGACATGGAATTCTTGTTTCTTGCAAGGTACTGCCTCCATCTCTTGACAGGCTACTGCTGCTACGCCATTTCCATTGCTGCTGGGTGTTTCGGGCGCACCTGATGTCTCCGGAGTAGCCTCTCCGGCTTCGAATCTCGCCCTCCTCTCGACGGCCTCTTGCACCCTCTGCGCAAACTCCTCATCGGAACCAGGCAGCATGTACCGCAGCCTCATGTTTATCCTGTTGGCCACCAGAACCTTGTGCCGAGGCTCTATCCTATGCTCCAAAGAGTAACTGAAAAACCTGGCAAGGCACAAGGATGGGAAGCATCAGCCTGTATCATCTCATCTTCTTCTCAGAAGAGGATATGGATGCGGTACACTCGCCGGGGAAACTCGATAAGATCTTTCAGCGGCCGTACCATGACACGCCTGAGGTACTGGTATTTTGAACGTAGAACATCCACATTGTATCGGAGAAGCGTCGGGAAGTCGGCAACCATCTGGCCGAGCACCAAGTGGTAGATGCCCAGTGACCGGAAGTACTTGACGCTGGCTTCCAGTTTGTGTACGATGCTGCAGCCCATGAGCTGCGGGTCCAATGCAATGACCTTCCCAATGTCATCCTCTGTTACTCCAGCTTTTGTCCTCAGGAATATAACCTGCAGTTTCAAGACACATGAGCCGAATAGAGCACAACAAGGCCGGCTTAATGAGATTTGAAACAAACTGCACTTATGATGTACCTACACTTATCCTACGGAAAGCATTGTAAAACATGGTGAAATAAAATGATACGAGAACAAACCACTGGGCGTAACTTCCTGTACAGATTATAAGTTAGTACAGGGGGGAACTTCACAAGCACATTGCCGACTGCATCATTCCTCACACCAATATCCTGTAGAAATCGTACCTGGAAAATTGATCGGGTAGAAATGAGAAGGGTCAACTCTCAACAAGCCATACATCAGAACTAGAAATCCAATACGCCTACGCTCCATTAGATACAAAAGGTAATTACTCCTAAGAGTAAAAAAAAAGGCAGTTACTCCTATCAGAGAGTTAAAGAGCATGTTCAACAGATCATAATATATTTTGTGAACAGGCCGACGAATCATAGTATCCTGCAGTGAATAACTCATAAAAGAGTGCCCAAGTAGCATCAAAACATGCATGCATAGTACTAATTATTTATGGGGTACCTTTGGTGCAATTACTGTCTCTAAATCAAGACAGAAAATCGTAGGTTGGACCACCAACATACGCTTCATACCATCCCGTGAAATGTTTAGATGATATAGGTACTTCACAAGTGGCTTCCACCTTTCTTCAATGCTGCAGGCCATGAGCTGTGGCTTATAAGCCAGCATTTTTCCAAGTTCTTCTGTGCTCAAACCAAACTCTTTCAGATATTGAACCTGTGAGCCAGAACACCATTATTTTCAACACAGACTTTGTTCTAATTATGAAGCACAAACAATCATTGCTATACAATTAACAATGACAAACTGAAATGTTGAATTCAAGAACTCAGTTTTTCCTATATACTTTACTTGTATCCATTTTTGTGCTATCAGGTATTATGTTGATTCTTCTACAAACAAGAGCCACAGATTTACAAATTTTACTAACCACTGAATTTAATGAGCAGCGCCAAATTCTTCTATGGATTGCTTTTCCCACCTCTTTTGTCATCAAAGTGCCTATGGACCAGTTCTTTTTTAGTTACCCGAAGCCCATGTAGACGCACCTACGACTGAGTTCTGTTTCTAAGATTTTCAATACCATGTTTCCTGAAGCGAGATTTTGGCGCGATTGCTATAAAATATACTCCCTCCGCCCCAAAATTCTTGTCTTAGATTTGTCTAAATACGGATGTATCTGATACATCCGTATTTAGACAAATCTAAGACAAGAATTTTGGGACGGAGGGAGTACTTCCTTGACCACTTGAAGATAGATCGATCTTAAGAAGATCATTGCCTACTCCTCAGTAGCCGATATAAATTTGGTGACTATTGGTATGTTTAGGCCATTAGGTCACCTATTTTGAGTTATAGACACACAAGCAAGGCCAAAACATGTGTGTGGGGCCTGCAAGCCATCAACCTACTAGCTATAGGGGAGACAACTTAGCATGTCAAGACAAAATTTTCATTAATCCAAAGTCATATGACGACATCTCCCAGAATTACAAGAAATTTACTTTCACTCGTTCGTCAGTAGTTCAGTGTTAGATCGGTTATAATCATATGGCGGACAACACTGCGAAATCATTGATGCCTATCCAAAAAGGGAACTGCGAGTTTGGTTTTGCTCCACCAATGTTCTTTAACAAAATATGAATCGATCTTCAATCATCTGAAGATTAAATTGACTCTTGCATAATAGTAATAGTAAGAGAAAGGGAATAAATTGCAGGAAAAAAAGGTGTCAAATATTCTTCCAAGTGGGCAAGGTGCAGAAAGAAAAATAGCATGGAGCAAATCTTAATGCGCAGTAAACACCTTACTGTTCATCTCTTCTAGGCTGAAAAACCCGAGAACTTTTGGATAATCATAGACCATAGTGCCGAAGTCATTCTCATTCATTCCCATATCTGAATAAAATTGCACTCGTGTCTCTAACTCATCCAAGGACAAATTCAATAGCTGTGGACATCTACTGACCACGTGACCAATCCAGTCTCTCCTAACACCACAGCATTCCAGATAGCCAGTAATCTCTTCCAATTCTTCAAAACTGCGACTCATAAGGGATTCACCCTTCGCAAGCACACGTCCCAAAAATTCTCCTTTCACATAAATTGATCTCAACCACTTTAGCATCCTTCTCACTTTCTCCAGATCACCAGAACAGGAGCAAACTACTTTCGCAATCTGGGGATATGTCAACGAGTTGTGCTTGAACCACCTGAAGTGAATATATTGTTTCAATACTAGCGAGGAAACTACGTACGTATTATGAAATACACTACTTCAGAGTTTGCACAGTTACTTATCATGTCAGTTCAAATGAAATGTTCAAATAGGTATACAACAGTGTGAAAAGACATCACATAAATGCAGCTTAGACAACTAAAACTGAAAAAAAATTCAAGATAACTAGAACTGAAAATTTAATAAGATTGAGTTGAGCTTGCTGAGGTTAAACAGCAGGAATTGGAAAATAATCACAATGGAACTTGTTGACAGGGGGTGTATAACTAAGCTTGTGATTGTCATGGTTGGCCACTGATATGAGGGCACTTTCATTTCAAGCCTAACAAAATGTGCACCGTCTTGAAACTAGCTAGGTGAGTGATGGTCAAGCTTCTTTTCTCTCTGTTTCTGTTAAATGACAACTCCTATAGATTTATAGTTTTTGCTCACACAAAAACAAAATTTCATTCGAGACTGGTAGTTGCATTGTTGCAGTTCATGTGCCCAGTACTTGAGAAGAAATAAACAGAAGAATTGAACAAGAAAAAGAAAAGGGGACGCTGCGACGTTTACTTGACCAGCTCGACCACGCCCGATTCCTGGATGTAGGTCCGTGCCCGCGCGTTGAAGGACTGGTGCGCGAGCTCGGGGCGGTCGCGCCGCATGGCGGCGGCTCCGACGACAATGCGGTCGACGAAGGCGCTCCGACGACAATGCGGTCGACGAAGGCGCCCATCCGTGAAGTGAGGTTGTTGACGTAGGTGAGGCCCCCGGCCTTCCCGCCGCTGAGCGCGGCCACGAGCGCCTCGGTGGCCACAGCGCGGCGCACCTCGAGCGCACGCCGCAGGACGTCATCGTCGGCCGGGACGTCGAGGTCCTCCCGGGAGTCCTGGATGCGCGGGGGCGCGACAGAGCCCGGGAACCGGTGGGTGCGGCGCGGGGCGAGGGAGGCCTCCTCGGCGGCGAGGAGGGAAGGGGATGGAGCGGGCGGGAGGATGGGATAGTGGGTGGCGGTGGTTGTGGCGGGGTTCTGGAGACGCGATGAGACGGCGGAGGAGGGAAGGAGGCGGCAGCGGCGAGGGTAGGAAGGGTTGGCGGTGTGGAGCGGGAGGTGCAGGCGGATGTGAGAGCGTGGGAGAGTGGTGGTGGCCATTGGAGACGAGTGGAAGGTGGAGCGAGGTTTAGCTCTATCCGGTTTGAGTTTTTTTTTAACTGTTTGGGGGTTAACAGCTTTTTTTAGAGAGAGAGAGAGAAAAAACAAGGCAAGGTAAACTAGCATGGCCAACTGCTAAACGGTCACATTTGAATTTAAATTTAAATAAAAATAAAAATTCAAATTGACTTAATTTTTTCAACCTTCGACCCAGAACAATCATGTCTCAAATTAATCAAACTAACTAGTACAGATTATGTCAAAATCAATGTGATTTGGTGAAAAGAAATTAATTGTGTCATACTGAATGTTGTTGCTCTATGTGCACTCTGAAAACATCATGTACCATCTCCATGTGCCAATGAAGGAAAACCCACAACTTAGCCTCTCTTTATGCACACTTCTGACCTTGAGTAACCAAAGCCATGCACATCCGATGACAATTATACACAGGTAAGGAAGAATCACCAGCGCCTGAAAGAAATTCCGGATAAAATCTTCTCTTTTCTCTACACAGCGACGTCCTCGTCCAGCACTTGCGGGTCCGGAGCAATCTCCCGCAAAGATCTCTTGAAGGACGAGGAAGCTTCTCCCCCACTAATATGCGACCTAACTGAGCCTCTGCGATCAAGCATTCGCCCTGATGGCGACATGACCTCGTAGCTCTGGTAACGATTGCCCTGAAGAAAAGCAGACTGCCATGAGCTCCGCGATGACGAGCTCCTGAGCCTTGCAGAGTTGGACTGGGAACCCGCTCGGACCACCCTCAGCGGATTCTCCAGGGCTTTCAAGACGTAGCGAGCAGAGGGACGCCTTGAAGGCTTTGAGTTTAGGCACGTCTTTGCGACGATCGCCACTGCCCATACTTCTTCAAGATGGTCCTCATCAACGACAAGTAAAGGATCGATGATATTAGTAATGCTATCCTTGTCACTGATGCTGATGCGATTTGTTGTGACCGCCAGCCACTCCTCGGAGCCAGCATCGTTTGATCCACTTACACCAAAATTGCCTGTTACTAGCTCAAGGATCACCTTCCCAAAGCAGTAAACATCGTATGAGCAAGTTGCTGGTGGGCCTGAAAATGAGAAAGACACACAAAAGAGATAAATTTCGTTCTTTTTCTGATATCAGACTTTGTATATCAATTATGAAAGTAGCATGCGGACAAATGTGAAATATTTATGCACCTGATGTGTTCTTGTCAAGAGACCTGCCACAAGAAAGTGCCAGTTACCAATGTCAGTTAGGAACGTCAGTTCAGAAGACTGAAGAAGCTTAACAAAATACTACTAAAATAAGTTTCTTCTAAAAAAAGACAAGAATGGAATTTGCTCAAGACAACAGAATCAGAGGGCAGTAAGTAGGTGTGTGACCAAACAATGATTTACCAAGTACCAACCACCAATCAATCAAAATACGCCAAAAAATAAGATTCATTATTCACTGATGTTTCTGCAACCAACAGTTTGCAGTCCTAGAAACTGGTAGTCAAGTAAACAACTCCAAATTCCTTACTGTCATGTCCTTATTTGGTGTGCATTTGGCAAATAAAAGGCACTTAATACCAGAACTCGTCACTGCTAGCATGCTGTAGTATCTTTAAGTTAGTACCAGTAAAATTAGTAAGAAAGTGGCCAAACAAATTGCTTACAGCAAGTCAAGTAAAACCACAAATATAAATTATGTAGATTAATGCCTCTAACTTCTTTTCTATACATAGGGTCATCGATGATTTATAAGTAGAGTTGCTTTACCTTCCATTTATTTCTATATGTATGCTCCTCGTATATTAATGCTATATAAGCCTTAACATCAAGATAACTCAGAGCAAACTTTACAACATTAAGCTCAGGAGTTAATTAGCATGGTTATTAGATTCTTCTAAGCCTATCACGAAACATGTAGAAAAAAAGAATTAAACAGGTCGCAATCTCACTTTGATGATCTCAAGATCCGAGAGAAAACATTCTGGCTTCCTGCACTTTGCTGAGCGCATATGTTACTCATACTTCCCAGTCGCACTTCAAATTTATCATCAAGAAGCACACTGCTTGCTTGGATATCTCTACAGTTACAATGAAAGAATCAGAACTCAGAACATGATAAATCAAATATCAAGAACGATATTAAAGAAGAAGATTAGGGCATCAAGCAACATGCAGCTACGTGGAGATAAGGCCTGTAACTTAAAATACTTGACCTCACCTACTGACAAGCGACAACATTGACTAGTCAAAGTAATATAAGATGGCAACAAAAGATAAAGCAGTCAAAACAGGCAGGTGGGACAGAAGATGACTACTACCAATTATGTCAAAAGTAATACAATACTGGAATAACTGATGACGTCCAGAGAGCAGTTGGTAAAATATGAATACAAATGCTACGCCTACGCTCCAATAGAGACTTGAGGCTTTGGTAGAGCTTATTTCTATTAAAAAAACTATTATCATATATCAAATTTATCTTCATTGTATAACTCTTCCTCAGATATTCTCTCGTGCAGCATATACGCTTTGTACAGAAACCACATGCATATATCAGAAAAACATACAATCAAGTAACATTTTTTACTTCCACGCAAAAAAATGTAACACTTTTTACTCAGCAAAACAATCAGAAAATGACTAGTCATACAAAACCATATACTTCTACATCAGGTCAATTCTTCTACCATATACAAAGACAAATCATATTCCTCTAATCTTTCGTTCAGACTTGGGAATAATAGGTCAAACAAAAGTTTCACATATATAATATTTCTCTCTCTTCAGCAATAATGCCTTGACAGATATGAATTTTACTGGTGTATTCATAAACGTCAAAAGCACAACCACCACTTAGAGGACCCCAGAAAGTATAAACTAAATGTAGCAAATTTATACCATAAGATTAAATACTCCAATAGCATATTCCACATGTACTGGGAAATGCACCAGCATTGATGTTTGGAGCATACAAAAGGCATAAAATACCTGTGAACGAATGGTGGGCTGCACTCGTCATGAAGGAAGCACATGGCCTCAGCTACACCAGTGGCGATCTTCAGTCTAGTTATCCAATCCAATGAGTGCAAGCCATCTTCAGTGTCCACAGGTTTCTTGTGCAATGCATTGGTCAAGTCCGCCTTCGGCATATACTTGTAGGACAGAAATTCTTCGTCATTGTTGGCCAGATGGCCGAGCAACGGAACAATCCTCTCATGTGAGTACCTCGAATAGAAGTCCGATTCGCTTGAAACTTTGTTGATACTCTTTGTACCAATCTTCTTGACGATGACATGTGCGCCATTCTCCAACACACCATGGTAAATATCCCCAGAATGCCCATGCTTGAGGAGGTTGTCATCATCAAAGCCCCCGGTGGCATGGACCAATTGCTCATAGGTCAACTCACCAAAAACGGCAATCGCGTCCTTAGGAGTAGCATCGGCTCTCGGGGACACTGCTACTGGTGATGAGGCCACAGGATTTACGCTGCTGTCCCTCCTACGCATGCCGCGTGCACCTTCCTCATTTGTTTCCGCCCCTCTCCCACCTCCTCTTTGTCTCCTCCTCATCAAACAGAAAAGCAATGCAACTAAAAACATAACCATCAATGCTGCCGCGGCTGCAAGAACCCCAATAAGTACATTTTTGGAGATCCCACGGCTCTTCTCCGGTGATGGCTGAGGCAAAGGTGCAGGCACTGGAATATCAACAAGTCTCACCCCTTCCCTCCTATATAAGTCTTCACAATCAACACGGCGGCGCTGACCAGAGACACCAGAGAAGCAATTCACGCTAACATCCACCGTTGCATCGGATCCATTCCAATTTCCATCGAGGTAGTTGCTTGACACGTCCACCAGCCGGAATCTCGTCTTGAGTGCCCCAATGGCATCAGTGGCCACACCATACAGAGAATTCCCTGAAATGTTAAACAACGATGCCGCTACATCACCGGCGCCGACAGAGACGCTGGGTAGCTCCCCGGTGAAATTGTTGGTGGAGAGGTCAAGAACGCGAAGGCCTTTGACGGAGAGCAGCGTTTCCGGAACCTGGCCCGAGAGGCTGTTCCCGGAGAGGAGCAACCTAGTCAGATTCCCCGATGAGCCGAGATCGGGCGGGAGCGTGCCATTGACTGCGGCGTAGCGGAGGTCGAGCACGGCGAGCGGCGGCGGGAGGCCGCGGCTGAACCACGCGGGCACCTCGCCGGGGAGCGGGAAACCGGAGGCGTTGAAGAGCTCGAGCGCTGTGAGGTTCCGCAGCCCGTCGACCGCGAACGCCGGCGCGCGGCTTGCGAGGCGGGTGCGGCGGAACCCCGCGACGCTGACGCCCACGACGCGGCCGGCGCGGCACATGACCCCCACCCAGGCCGTGCACGGGTCGGCCCTCGCGGGCCACTCCCGCGCCCGCAAACCCAGCGACGCCCGCAGGCTGTACAGCCCCGCCAGGTCCGACGGCGACGCGAGCGGCTGCTGCGCCACGGCCGCCGCCACAGCCCCCAAAAGGGCCACGGCGGCCAGGAGGAGGCGGCAGTGCGGCATGGGTGGAGCCGGAGCACCGAAGCGGCTGCGACAGTCTGGTCTCTAGGGCGCGGCCATGGAGGGAGGCGGGGTCAGAGGCGCCCGTGAGGTGTTTGAGGGAATGCTTCTGGCTCTGGGCGGCGCGGAGACGTGGGAGAGGCAAGCAAGGAGGAGTTGACCGTGGCAGCGAGGCGGCGAGGCGAGACAAGCAAGAAACGAAACCGGCATGTGTGCGGGCGAGTAAACTAAAGAGCGATGTTCTGTGGCACCCTCTTCCAGCCGTCCCGGATCGCATTCACGTGGGCCCGTCTCACGCGCCCGGCGCTGCCCCGCTTCAATGCGGGCCGTGTCCTGCAGGTGGGAAGGCGGCCGGAATGCCGGGAACGGCTGGCCCACCTGTCTGTGACCCGTGGTCCACATGGAAGCGTGGAGGCGTGAGGGGCGCTGGGTTTCACTGGCTTCTGGGCCCGCTTGGTTTCCACGCGGGCGGGCGGGCGGGGTCGGGTTCGCGGGCTCGATCGTGGGCTCGGACCGACCGAGGAATGTTCGTTTTGTCCATCCGCTTCTTGTCCTGATCGGTCATTGCTTCTTTCTTTTCTTCTTTATTAAACACATTACTGTTTGGAATTGATGGAGAGAGATCTCTAGGTTTACGCGTCCGGCTAAGCTATCGGCCAGTATCCTTTTCTCTTGGAGCCGAAGCTGTGCATGTGAGAACGGCAGATGTGTCCACATGGAAGCGAACAAGCTCCATTTCAAAGAAAAAGAAAGTCAACTCAAAAAAATGAAGAAGCGGAACACCGCAACTTTGTGAAAGCTCAAACAAGAAAAGAAAAAAGAGACACCTCACTTATGTTGGATATATAATTACTTAATACTAGCAAAATATGCTCGTGCGTTGCAACGGAAAAAAAATTATCCCTCATACACACCCGACAATATCAACAAACAATATTCTTTAAAAAAATCTGTACTGGCACAATTTCAAACAATATGAAAATCGACATTAAGCCACTGGTTACATAAAGCTCGTATCCTCAGTTTATATGAATCATCATATAAAGATTGGTAGTGCACTGTAAGAAATAGAGAGGATGACTACGTACTTGTTTTAACCTTTAGCATATGGTAGTTGGTAGGAATCAACATCCCCTATGATGCCAATAATAGATTTTGTGAGAGCACAAACTGCCATATCTACTAAATTCAAATAGGGTAGAAAACGTAGGCATTCTCAAATACCTCATATAGTGAAGATATTTATTTAAGGTTGCATCCTAAAGCAATTTTAGAAATGATTAACCAGTGAGATAATAGCATAACTAAAATCTACATATTTTTGAGGGATTTTCATATGTAACATGTTATATTTGGAGTTATGATTTGAAAGTTGTGATTTTAAAAAAAATTTGAATCTACCCGTAAAAGGAAAGGCCCATCGATGCTTTGGCGAGCATACGCCCACCAGCATCTAAAGAGAAAGGGGGGGTGACGAGAAAGGGGGAGTCAAACCTTGGCCTCTTGGATACAAGACTGACGCGCTTGCCACTGCACTGACTATATTCTCATGATAGATGAGGGGTTTGCCCTAAATGAAACAAAGCGAACGCATCAGAAGGAAAAAATGAATCATTTTTTTAACTTATGGGTGGCATAGTGGATAATTTGTGCCAACTTTAAGGGAAAATTTATGACATATCACCAGAAGCAATAGCCTCTTTATTATTAGGTAGAGATTGTGATTTATTGGAATATATAAATTATGATTAAAACTATTGTTAGATGCAACACTCTAGCATACTAGATGATCCCTGGAAAAATACATACTAGATGAACAAGAAAAACTTGTACAATAGCATCGCAAATGCAGCACTAGTCGTAATAAGTGGCTGGATCAGATTACGGCACGCGTACTAATCAGTTGTAGAAGAAGCGACATGGTGACTGTTGCAGAGGCGGTGTTGTTGACGGCGACGTTGGTGAAGACCGGCTAAAGCACACGACGATGGTGAAGACCGGCTGAAGCACATGATGTTGAAGACGTCGGTACTTGACGCCGCGCGACTCGGATGGAAGATGACATGTGGCTACGAACTTGAACAGTCGTGCATAACGCTTCCCATAAACCTAATTCGCCCTCTTCCGGTGCAGGATCACAAGGGGGAGATGTTCCAGAGACTTGCTCTCACGCTCGTTACCGGCCTTCGGGGTGGAGTAGACTACGGCTGCAATGCAAGTAGCTAGAGGAGGCAAACCCCTAACTCGTTTTTATTGTATCTTTCACTGTGACTGGTAAGTCATATTTATAGGAGAACCCATGTAGTATCGTGTCGCGGTCACGATCTCAACCGACTTGGTTTCCAACTTACGGGTCAAGAAACAATCAACTTGTCTACCAAGAAACTAAAAATAAAACAAAACAACAAAAAGAAGTTGCGCTCCTCCCAAGCCATGGGTCATATTTTGACAGAACATTCATGCACATGTCGCACGTTGGCGCCCTTTGCCCCATCATGTGGTTGTGCCCGTGCCGACGAGGCGAGACTAGTGTGTGCATGTGTTGCCATCTTTCCTATCCTCATACCAATCACTTAGTGTAGTGGGAAGAACCCACTATATGAAGAGGTCTCACACCTCCTCCATTAGCAGTATGGGACTAAACATTTACACAATCGTTTGCATTTATTCATGGATCTTTGAGATTAATTTCAGAATTTTCTGAAAATACACATGGGCCAAGGCCATTAATTCTGACATTCGCCCACCAAATCTCATATATCCATTTAGAGATTTGCTTGATATTGATTTTGTTTAATATACTAATCTTTCAATGGAAACTCTTAAGTTGAACTTCTACTTAGAGTTTTAAATTACATCCTTCACAACTTGACAATTGACAATTCCTTGAATGTCAAGTGTTGTATGAAGAGGTTTCACTCAAAGTCATAACTAATACTTGACTGTTAGTTGACGGAGTCGAATTCGGCAGATCTCCGATAGGGGGTCCTGAGCTTGTAGTCTTGACATGATGGTAATATGGCATGAGTGTTTACCCAGGTTCAGGCTCTCCATGGAGATAAAACCCTATGTCTTTCTTGTGTTTGTATTGATTTGGAATTGAGTACAAAGTATAGGTGATCTACCGTGAGATCGTTGTGTGTCGATTGTGTCCTATCGACTAGCCCAGTGTCGGCTTATATAAGAATGCCGGAGGCCTAGGATTACAGGAGTCCTAGTCAGCTACGTTGGTGGAGGAGAGTCCTCCACGGATAAGGAGTCCTTGTCTTGAACGACAAGGCTTCTTGATGTTCCGTGTAGATCGCCATGGGCCACCCAAAGTGTCCCAGGACAAAACCGACAAGGGGGGTCCTCTGCCCGGCCCAACAGACCATGAATCATTTGATGCTTGTAAACCATGCCTCATGGGTAAGATGACTAAAACTCCGTTCTCCAGAACAATGGAGCGATCCACTGGCTTATTGGAAATAATACATACCGATGTACGTGGTCCGATGAGTGTTGAGGCTCGCGGTAGGTATCATTATTTTCTGACCTTCACAGATGATTTGAGCATATATGGGTATATCTACTTAATGAAACACAAGTCTGAAACATTTGAAAAGTTCAAAGAATCTCAGAGTGAAGTGGAAAATCATCGTAACAAGAAAATAAAGTTTCTACGATCTGATCACGGAGGCGAATATTTGAGTTACGAGTTTGGTCTTCATTTAAAACAATGTGGAATAGTTTCGCAACTCACGCCACCTGGAACACCACATCGTAATGGTGTGTCTGAACACTGTAACTGTACTTTATTAGATATGGTGCGATCTATGATGTCTCTTACCGATTTACCACTGTTGTTTTGGGGTTATGCATTAGAGACAACTGCATTCACGTTAAATAGGGCACCATCTAAATCCGTTGAGACGACACTGTATGAACTGTGGTTTGGCAAGAAACCTAAGCTGTCATTTCTTAAAGTTTGGGGTTGCGATGCTTATGTGAAAAAGTTTCAGCCTGATAAGCTCGAGCCCAAATCGGAGAAGCGCGTCTTCATAGGATACCCAAAAGAAACTGTTGGGTACACCTTATATCACAGATCCGAAGGCAAGATATTTGTTACTAAGAATGGATCCTTTCTAGAGAAGGAGTTTCTCTCGAAAGAAGCGAGTGGGAGGAAAGTAGAACTTGATGGGGTAACTGTACCTTCTCTCAAATTGGAAAGTAACTCATTAGAGAAATCCGTTCTCATGATGCCTACACCAACTAGAGAGGAAGCTGATGATGATGATCATGAAACTTCAGATCAAGTTACTACTGGACCTCGTAGGTCGAACAGAGCATGTTCCACACCAGAGTGGTACAGTAATCATGTTCTGGAAGTCATGTTACTAGACCATGACGAACCTACGAACTATGAGAAAGCGACGATGAGCCTAGATTTTGATAAATGGCTTGAGGCCATGAAATTTGAGATAGTATCCATGTATGAGAACAAAGTGTGGACTTTGGTGGACTTGCCCCATGATCTGCAAGCCATTAAGAATAAATGGATCTTCAAGAGTAAGTCGGACGCTGATGGTAGTGTTACTATCTACAAAGCTTGACTTGTCGCAAAAGGTTTTTGACAAGATCAAGGTGTTGACTACGACGAGAATTTCTCACTCATAGCGATGCTTAAGTCTGTTTGAATCATGTTAGCAATTGCCACATTTTATGAAATTTGGCAAATGGATGTCAAAACTGCATTCCTTAATGGATTTCTTAAAGAAGAGTAGTATATGATGCAACCAGAAGGTTTTGTTAATCCTAAAGGTGCTAACAAAGTGTGCAAACTCCAACAATCCATCTATGGACTGGTGCAAGCATCTCGGAGTTAGAATATAAGCTTTGATAAGCTGATCAAAGCATATGGTTTTATATAGACTTATGGTGAAGCCTGTATTTACAAGAAAGTGAGTGGGAGCTCTATAGCATTTCTGATATTATATGTGGATGACATATTGTTGATTCGAAAT